TGTTAAGTAATTTGTGGACATTTCTTACTTATCGCGGATTCGTTGCTAACCAACTTACTTCATATGGTAATTTAGCGAAGAGTTATGCCACCGTATCTGTATGCATTATTGGATTTATTTTATTTCAGCTTGTCGTTTCAAGTGATGGCTGTTGCTTGATATCTCCGGTGTGGTTGCGCTTGATGTGTATGTTGACAAGGTGTCTACCTGTCTATAACCCACTACCTCGTTCATACTGGCTCCAGGAGACTGTTTGTCGTTGCTGGAGGGGACGGGGTGCACGGTTCTTGTGGCCGTGTTAGGCTCGAAGAGTGGTTCCATGCACTCAGTGTGGAGCGGACTACGATCCAGCCACCGCCTTGTGTGCACTCGATTCTCCAAATACAGCGTGCTTGTGTTTGTCTGTGAAGGTGTGTGGACCGGCTTCGTAGATGAAACGTGGCTCCCATCCACATGTTTCCCGGTCTTATTCCTTCGGGTTTACACTGGATATGGGGTGTGGTGTGTGGGTGGTGTGGTTGGAGCTGTGGGTGGTGCAGCGCAAGCCACCCATGGTCCCTCTGTACGCGCAGGCGTCCTGTGGCTGGCCACAGTGACAGGCAAATCCGAAGCCGGATGTCGCCAACCATGGTTCAAAGTTGGATTTGGAGTACGCACCGTGTAGTTGGATTGCGACACGCCATCCCTATTGGGACCTCGGTCCAGTTTGAAGTAGACCACGGTCATCCCAATCCCAAGAGCCGTATCCGAAATGGAGGCGTTTCGGTGTTGCTTCCCCAACACTGACACCCCATAACCGGTTTCGTCCACCAAACGAGCATGAAACCGGTTTTGGGGTGTCAATATTAGGAGGAGCAACACCATGGTGAGTGGTTATTGCACCGAGAACTGGCTACCTCTGGGCTGTCGGCCGGTGGTCGAGTGGTCTGCGCGCCTGGTTTGCTACCACAAGGTCATCGGTTCGAATTCGCGTAGGGGTAGGCGTCCTCGCGGTATACACAGCCCGCACGCGACTGGTGGTGGTCGCGCGGCCGCGAAGCGCCGTTACGGCATACATCTGACACATTATTATGCATTATTACTCCTAGTTTGCAATGCCTACAGGCATAACAGACGACGGTGATGTAGGCCGGTGCACTCAAGCAAGTGGTTGTGAATGACGCAAACACTCCATCAGTAGGGGAGTTAAGTGGCATGATTACAACCTTGACTTCGTCACAATATGAACACGATGCATCAGATTGCTTACTAAATTTCCCTGAGCTCTACTGGTAATCGCAGGAATTAATTCTGTCGATTACCGGCAGAGGCGCTATCTCAGCTCACGATTCCGCAGGCGTAACAAAATGCTTTGCGTAATAAGCGTTCATGTATCTGACGGTGTGATTGGATTAGACCAAAACAATGACGCGGGTGCTTCCACCTGAGCATCCATCGTGATCAAAGTACCAGGCATTGGTTCACAGGAGAGTTAGCGAACACCCAGTAATTCAAAAATAGCAGCCCTGCTGTTAGCGAAAACAATGGGACTAGATGGGTACAAAGACGGAGCCGTGAGCTTGACGAAGAAGCCCAGTGGACTCAGGCGGCCAGGGAATGGAGAAAGATAGAAGCGACGGGAAACCTAGACAAGCTCCTTGAAGTAATTCGTGTCAATGGCCCAAGGAAATAGTCAGTTAGTAGAACAAGCAGAGATAGCCCCGAAACACTGATACACAATAGGAAACGTTGACTGCTTGGTTTGGTACCTCACATTCAGGAGCAATTCAGCTCGTCTTTTACGTCCAAGCCGCTTACCGGAACCAACTGAACCTGAGGAGCACAACGCTGAAACAATTCTCAATCATCCCCATGTTGCTGATCCAGTCACTCTGGTGTCTTCACAGCTCCAAGGTACAGGTGTCGTCCGCTGTGGAGTGCAAATGCTGTGGAGTGCAAATCAAGGATAAGTCCTATCTTCTAAATGAGAAAATAAGTCAAATTTGCAAACCGAAGTATATGGTAGAGGGGCAGGAAACGTAACACAAATGGGTCTGTACTCCTCGATTTAATATTTGCATTTGGCTCGCAGGTTAAGACCTGGTCGACGTAATTGCTAGCAACAATGTGAACAGTTTGGGTGATGAGTTTTAGAAAAATAAGACAGGGTCATGTTATAGAGAGAGTAGTTAAGTGATACGCTGTCTGTGACGGGTGGCATAAGCGTCGGCGTGACGATGACGCGCAGCTGAATGTGCCAAATGGATGAGAGCACGTCAGTCTCTAAGAGCGAAGGATAAACCTGTTAGATACATTGCGATTGTGCGGCTGCTAGTGGTCCGATAAACTGATAAATCTAGATAAATGTTGCTTAGGGAGGGCAAAGAATCACCGAGACAAGCTTCAAAGGGCTTGGTTACATATTGCAGCCAAGACGTAACAAATAAAGGTGTGTCAAGATAGCTCCAAACGTAACGATGCGATTGAAGTGTGTCCACAACGAACGACATCGTTGTTATGTATGAAAACATGAGGTTTCATGGCAGTAGGTTAAATAACGAAATCCAATTGAATCGGCCGAATCACTTACAAATGCCCTATTGATGCAAACGCCGAAAGCCTTATAGAGGCCCAGTACAACATGAATCTGCCGTCATTGAGTACTAACATTAGCAACTACAATATTGCAAGAAAGCGTATCATTACTTAGGTTAACTCACGTAGCCCGGAGCAATATTCTAGCGAAATCAGCCCGGATGATTTCTTCGAATGAAGATAACTATTAGAGTACAAGGGTATCGGCTGCTTCGGATTGCAAAACATCACGTGTGCTGTTTTCATTTACATGTTGTACAACAGACCCGGTTGATGTATGTTTGACGATGGAACCAGTGATACTACACATTAGATGGGGCGACGTGCTATGTACAAGTTAGACAGAAAACGCAGATGAGCGAAGGAGCGGAAAAGGGGGAGGGTTGTGGCAACCTATAGGGCTTATCTGATGTGTCGATAAGATCAACTAACATGAGAGTCCTCATTTCAGACAACAAGAAACGCAGCGCGCGAAATCTATACAAAAAGCAACAGAAGAGGGTAACCAGTCGTAGGTGCCACGACCGCGTCAGGAAGCTACGGGGGAATTCACCTGGCTATGTCAACTAGACACCGCAATGTGTTTTGCTTACGTTGAGAAATGTAAAGGCCACATTAAGTGAAGTTCTGCCTAAGCCTCGTTCAGTCAAATAAATATGAGGCGGGAATCGAAGTGTGGTAGATTCGAATTCCACCGCTCGCTAAATAGCGAACACAACAGTGATGCGGAAAGGAGATAAAACACAAACCGGATAAAAAGAGAAAGAAATTAAAAAGAATAGATAGAAACTGATTACGGGGGAATATTAATAGCTAGAATCAAGAAACTGGATGCAAGAACATCAATGACTGCACAACTGTGCAATCTCCAAAAGGGTATCCAATTCATTTTGCTGACGATTCTGAGGTCCTCATCTAAAAAGACGGCATACACCAGGCTGAGCAAATATCTTTGTCAATTTCGTCATGCTTCTATGCCACGTCATGGACTGGCCACTCAACGATTTCGCCCAAATTGTTGCAGCCACGGCGTATAATGAGCGCCGAAGAAGCCGGTCAACGAACATACGGAGGAATGGACAAGCCAACGTAAGCGATGAAGATTCAGCAAACACTCTAGTGAGGTACCAGAAGGCTTCTTCCCAAAAACCAACAGGCGAACCTCGGTATTGTTCATCCGTGTTCCCATTAGACGTGAACAATACTCCGCAAGCAACGGTGCTAAAACACGGGCAAGCGTTCAATGTCTCCTGCACGAAGTGGCCAGGTCTCTGATCCATACAGTAGTACGGGCGTTATCGCAGCGTTGTGCACCTTACTTCTGACTGAGTGTCCCATCACTTCTAGAGATGGTTAGGCCTTTGAAAAATCACACAGACTTTGTGGATAAATGAACTAATCTCCTTAGCAATGTGGTAGCCACCAAGATACTCAAGACGCACAGGGACTTTTGGTGGCTGTGGCTGTGGAGTGTAGGCTCAGTTTTGCAGTGAAACCTAGCACTTTTAAAGCGCAAAGTACTTGTCGAAGCGTACAGCGCTACGCATCAGCCTATCCAGTATCGAATTATTGGAAGATACTTGGAACCGATCGAGTAGTCATGAGTTCAGAATGGTTTGGAAACAATCGGTTGGCATAGTAGTTTGGTAACATTTCGCCCTTAACAAAAGGGCTTCGTCAGACCAGGTGGATCAGTGTGTAATTGGGGTGGGATTTTATAGGGAACAGGGGCGACGTGACATAACGAACTGTTACTGTGATGGCACCATGGTTCAAGTCTCCGGAAACGCGGTTATCGCCCCTGTTCGCAATAAAATCCCACCCCAATTACACACTGATTCACCTCGTCTGACGAAACCCTTGTGTCAAGAGCGAAACGTTACCAAACTACTATAGCAACGGATTGTTTCCAAACCTCTTTGAACGTAAATCTATTCAGTAGGTATTATATAGTCACTGGACCCAACCACATTAGACCAATCGCTGTCTGCCACATGATGCAAACGAAACAACGGGGAAGTAGGAAAAAGCCAAAAAACGGTTTGGAAGTCTTTTAAGCGCTAGAACAAAAGGAAAGTGCGAATGACAGAAAAGAGGATGAGAGCAAAGGCGCTCGTTACTGCACAAAAGAAGAGAGCATGTTCTGCCTAGCCGAAAAAGTAAACTATGCACTGTTAAGTTTTAGGTGTGTTGCCTACATTGTTCTTAGTCTACAGTGTTTACCACATGAAAATATAACCCCCAGACAGTTTGAAGGTTAGCAAGGAGTAAGCCAGAATCAACGATTCGACCGATCGACCGGGTGTACCGACATTAGAGGCCTATCGATCCCATCCGAAGTCCGATAGCGCCGGATGACCAACATTCGCACACAAAACGATTGCTTCATACTGTTTAAAATGCAAGATAGCGTCAATTGCACTCACCGTGTCAGAGAGGCAAGAACAGGCATCAGGCGACGCACCGTTCAAATGAGAAATGGTACACGAACATAGGGAACAATTCCTCATACATCGTCTCCCACAAGGGCCTTCTTGATCCGGTGGCAATAGCGTCGTTAGGTTGATAGATCGATCGCGAGGAGCGACTGTCCACATGGAGGGGGTGGGTGAAGACGTTCGTGGTGCATAATGGACAGTTGTATCAACGATAGGAAGTGTCACAGTTAAGTCGCATGGTAAAGGAGAGCTAGGTGTGTTCGCAACGTGCTCCTCAGATTGGAGTGATGAGATGGTGGCATTCAATTCCTTCTTCAAGGAAGTGGACGCGGAACAAGGTTTGGATGTATGAAATCGGTTAGACCGCAACAGGGCCGATCCAGTGGAGGTAGAAGCAGCAGCAGCACACTGTCGGGTGCGTAGCTCCGGCAATTTCAGTCCAATGGTTGTGCACTGGTGTAGAGAAAGAGCAAACCGAGAGCACAATGAGGTAGAAGCTTTTAAGCGAATGCGAAAACTGTGATTAGAACGAGTGGAAATCTAACCACTCTCGGAGGGGACACTGTAGACTGCGAAACCAGTAACGGAACAAAGATGAAAGACAATAAATGTTGTGAAACCCGGCATACCGTAGCGCGCTGGGCTGTTCAGAGTGAGTATGTGATTGATGAAGAGGATTAAATGATGAGATTGGTAGGGCTAAAAGGTGACACAGTGAAGAAAGACAAAGCCAACAGTATTAGGCGCAGAATAACATAGGTCATTTCACATTTGTACTTAAGTAGCGGCAATGTTTACGATGAAGCAAAAGTGCTCAAACCTGAGATAAATGAAAAACAAAATCGAAACGAGTGAACGCAAGTAACCGGGACGTAGTACGAAGGCTTCATTAGGGCAGATAAAGGATATACGTTCGTCGCGGCGATTATGTTCAGCTAGAAGAGATCCGCATTCGAGATGCGAGTTGCACCCCTGGTTAGAGGCTGGTAGGAATGAAACGCAAGTTCAAGGATATTTTGCGCTGGTGACAAACATGGGTGCAGAAATTAAGAGAGGGGAAAAGAGCTAAAACGAAGGAAGGTAAACTGAACTGGCACACAGCAAGGGATAGCGTGTTCCAGTGCAAATCGGAGATTCACCAACATGCCGAAGAACGGGGCAACTTTGGTAAGATAGCGAAGGAACAGTACAGGTGGCCACATGCTAATAAACTACAACAGTGTTAGACGCAGTAGGAAGAGAAACTGTGGCAAAAAGTGGTTCTAAGTAACATATTAGTGTGGTTTGTGTTTATTACGAGAGATCAATTAGATTGATTCGCCATCTCGTGAGAGTGAAAAGCTACATTTCGAAGGGAGGACGATAAAACTAGGTTCATGTGAACAGTTATCAATGAAAAAGCCTAAGCGGAAGCAGCACACCGACGTTTCGCTTCCATTCGACCATCATCAGTCGCGCGTGAGCTGGGTGTATCGTGAGGTTATCGGTATTTAGACGGATACGTACCCGTGAACCCAGAATTACGAAGCAAGCGTGGTATGTTTTCAGCCACCGGCCGAAGAACAATCTTACACAGAGTGCTGCGGAATTACCAGTCGCGTAACTTAGCCACAGTATAAGATTTTCTTAGAATGTCTTTTTTTCTCACTATAATGTCACATAATTGCGTTCGTACGTTAAGCAAATATGCGGTTTAAGTGTCGCTCAACCACCATCTCCTCGGCTCAGTGGATTAACCTACTAGCTAGCTGACGTCAGCCTCTAACGGTCATCAATTCGATCACCAGTAGGGGACGGAGGGGAATGTGCACCACTGACGAGCCCCAGTAAGGCGCCGAGCGTCATTCCTGTACTGTCCACGAGTCAATGTTCAAGCAAGTAGCAAAGCCCAGTTCAACGGCTTCCATTTGGAGCCCTTAATCATTCTTCAGATTGGCATGCTTCAATTTACGCACATTGCAGCAAATCGGTCAACAGACAGCACTTTCCCGAACATTAGAGACCCTTTCGATAGTTATCTGCTGCTTATCAGAGACCCGCCTGCAAGACTGGAGCTCTGTTCTCACTTTGCGATTCCTTTCAGGTGACACCAGCAGCACTTTCTCATTTTGACTATCCGTTGACGATGCAGCTTCGAGCACCGGCCAAGCCGGTGTTGGTATTACCCTGAGTCCCCGGGCTGAAGCTACTCTGGTTAACTGGATTCCAGTCAGTAGCCGGATGTGTGCGGTCCGAGTGGCTAGGTCGTTCAAAGCTTCGAAGTCGCGCAGGACTAACAGGTGTCTGTCCGTCATCGTTGCGTATGCACCCACAAACTGTAGCGATGACTCGGTAAAAGAGGACCTCTATCGCCAACTGATCCAGCTCCTACGCCACAAAAGAAGCACGCACACTGGTGTGCTGGCTGGGGATCTGAAGGCAGAAGTTGGAAAGTTGTTCACTGATGAACTGCATCTCGGCAGGCAACGTGGTGTAGGCTCCCGTAATGATAACGGGGAGCGGTTACTTCATTTGTGTGATGATGCTCGCTTATATCCTGTGAGCACTAATTTCCGACACAGCACCCGCCGGAGGGTGACCTGGCGCCCACCAGTCTCGAACCAGCCTTGAACACAAATCGATCCCATTGCGACAAGTTACCGATGGAGTGACTACGTCCAGAACTGTCGCTCGATTTGGAGCACAGATGTGGACACCGACCATGCACTTGTATGTGCTGACCTGCGGATGCGTTTTGGCGGACGCTCAAGACGGCGTTGTGAGCGCATTGACAAGAGCCAACTGACAAAGCCAGCTTTTCTGAATGCGTATCGAAGTACGCTGACATGCGAGTTGAGTAAGCGCTCACCGGATGCAGTTGAAGCTCACTGGTCTCATATTCACCAGTCCTTACTAGCAGCAGGAAAGTCCTCATGTGGTAAGTCTGATCGCCAACATGGAAATTGCGTTTCTTCGCAGTCTCTGTAACTTGCCGATCCTCGCCGGCATATTCCGGCTGGAAGCGAACACAATGAAACTCGCAATGAGCTCCAAGCAAAACTCCGTGCTAGCCTGAAGAGAGACCGCGAATCCTGGTGGTCTCGTCGTGCAACAGAGACGGAAATGGCCGCTGCCCTTGGTAACCATCGTCAGTTATTCCGGCTGATACGGGAAACGGGCAACAGAAGACCTAGTGTTAGTGAAACAATTTGTGATCAGAGCGGACAGCCTATCCACAAATTGTCAAAACGTTTGGAGCACTGGACTGAGCAGTATAAAAGGCAATTTAATCAGTCGGGATTGTTAGATTTATCGCCGGCCAATGATCGCCCCGCTCCCTGGGCTGCCCCTTTGGATCCACCCTCTCGCTCAGAAGTCGAACATGAGATCGCACTGTTGAAGTTAATCAAAGCCGAGA